TTTTCTTATGATGGGCGGTGATGTCATTGTCTAGGTATTTGTATGTGACGCTGGGTTTTTGGCCTTTTACTTTTTGATGGAGTGGTTGGATCTTTCCTACAATAACTGCTTTGGGTTTCACCAAATTTGGTTTTATATCAACGCATTTTTGCTCATCACTCTAAGAAATAGTAATGTTCATTACTTTATTTATTATTAGATAAGTTTTAATTTTAAGATTTGTATATTTCTACTAGATAGATTTTGAAATTTAAAATCATCAAATAATAATAAATAAAGTAGTAAACATCACCATCACTTCAGGGTAGTGAGCAAAATCTTTTCTTATATGAACAAGGCAATAGTGATGGGTGCTAAAATAATTTTAAGGGGCTTAGAACATCTCTTGTAACATCTCACATCGTCCCGGGGAGTGAATTCTCTAAGCCTTATATGTATATTTTCATCTCTACCTAGCATGAGACCTTTTAGGAGCTCACTGGCTTCGGGTTCCATCGGAACTTCGAAGTGAAGCGAGTTCACAAGAGAGCAATCCCAGGATGGATGACCCACTGGGAAGTTCTCGTGTGAGTTCCCATAAACAAAACCGTGAGGGCGTGGTCGGAGCCCAAAGCGGACAATATCGTGCTACAGTTGAGTCGAGCCCGGGATGTGGTGGGAGCCCGGGATGTGGTGGGGGCCCAGGTCGGAATGTGACATCTCCAATGGAGATGTGAAATGATAAATTCAAGTGTTAATTTGATGGCTGACGTGGCAATTTCTCTTTCTCCAATTCATATGTTTTTTTTTATTATAAATAATATTTGGAGAATCTATTCTAATAAAAGAAATCAATTAAAATAAATTTTCAATATTTAATAAAATAAAATAAAGAATTAATTGACAGCACTTTTTATATGCCAATCTACTGAAGATTGACATATCAATTGGAACTTCATCCTACTTTCAAATTTGATTGTGTGACATTCTACTTAAAATATGACATCTCCTTTGGAGTCGATGTTATGAATTTTGGTGCACTTCCTCCTAATCCACATACAACTAATAGAGAATTGCGATCCACAATGTTAAAATTCACGCCAAGTAAACTATTTAGAGCAAGTCCAGCGGTAGCAAATGCCCTGTGGACTAGGGACCTTCTCGACCCAATCCCCTCCCTTCCTTGTTCAAGCCCATGCTGGCGATTAGGCTAGGGGGCTTGTGTGAGAGGGGAGGCACGAATCCAAGGCCCAAGCGCCTGAGAGCAAGTTGATATAAGGTTGACCTCAGTCATGTTATAAAATTAATAAAAATGTAAAAAAAAAATTAATTAATTAAAAAAAATTTAAAAATGTAAACAATTAATAAAAAATTGATTTAATTTTTCTATAAATATCTTATCATTATATTCCACCTTACACCATAATTTTATATTTTTTCAAATACTTTGGATTGTAATTTCTTATTTAATGAAACGTGGTACAACGATACCGATTAAAAATCATATTTGAAATTAGAAATAAAATTATTTTTTATTAGTTTATAAAATAAAAATATTAATATTTTATTACCTGTTGTCATGGTTATTCAATTTAGGAGTGAAGATGTAAAAGACAATTATTGGGGGGGTGAATGTTGTCCATGTTTACAAGTGAAATTACAAAGTAGGATCATGTGGCAAACAAAAGGACACTAGCTAGGACGTAGCCAAGACGCATAAAAAAGTGCAGCACTTCGGCTGCCGCCAGCATATGATGGCTATTGTCCGAACTCTGAGGTCCACGAATGAATTTAGGTTGGTCCTGCGGGAGTGGGTCACCCACCCCCACCACACAACCAGTGAAGTGTCCGCAACAGGAATGGGAGACCATGCACATGGGTTTGGTGCATCCTTGTCGAAATTGTGGAAGCTTTGTGTTCTGTTGGGTCCTGTTGCGACGGACTTTTTATGTGAATCGAATCATACTGCTAATATGTTATCGACTCTAATGAATTGGGTTACAATTGTAAAATGATGAATGTGAGAATGTGGGACTTTTTCACTTATACTCTCACACGTCATCTTATGTGTGACGAATTTCAAGTTTAACACGTGAACAATACAAACGGAGTGACGTAGAGCACATGTGGCCGTTGAGCTTCACACGTGAATCAACATACTCTGATATCATAAAGAAAAATTAAAATTCTACCATAAAATCAATCCACGATACCACATTCACACAATGAACTTACTTATTGTTCTGATTTTTATATGCTGGATATTGTTTCACTATTTATGTTGGGTGTAATTTTCCAAACAAATTTGGCCCCAATATTCTAAACCGAAAAGACCTTTTTCATACAATAAAAATTTAAGTAAAAAAACCCAGTCAGAGCCTCACTTTTTTTTTTTTTGACAGATCGGGGCCTCACTTAGGACAGCTGTAAGAAGAACAAAATGGTGAAGAGGTGTGTGATATCACGCGACGTCACGTGAATTGGGGGAGGGGGGCAGGTGATAGCATCAGGGAACACGTGCAGTGGAGCACTTTTTATGGCACCTTTTATGTTGAGACAATTGTTTCTGAAATCTGTAATTTTGTAAGTTGTTTTAGGAGTTTTAACGAAACATTTCTGATACTATTTATTTTTAACGAAAATGATATTTTTATTTTAAAAAATCACTCATGTTACTATTCACTTATAACACATTTTTTTCATTTGATTAAAACTCAGTATAATATAGCACTTTGTAGTTTGTAGTAGAAGGCTATCCATATCCCAAATTGCATGTGATTTGATTTGAGATGGGATGGTAGGATCTCTTGTATTTCCTAATACACTTTAGAGCTCCTAATTCATTTTAAATCGTAATTATCTTTGTGCAAGTCCATCCGTTTATAAAGGGCAAAAACAATGAAATTGCTCTTACTATGCATTCTAAATAATAATTGTCTTTGTGCAAATCTATCCGTTTGTGAAGGGCGAGGACAAGGGCACTTTCCACAAATATAAAATATTTTTTTATGCTTAGAAGGTTTGTTCCATGAAAATAAAATGATTATCTAATTTCAGTAATATATTTCAAATACAAGAAATGAAGAAGACGGTAGAGTATATATAGAAAAGCAATTAGGTAATTGACTCTGGGATGCGGCGGGCGCAAGGTGGCAATTGACTCTGGGATGTGCACGTGGACGGGCCCCACTTGGTCCATTTCTGTATGCGGCGGGCGCAAGCCCAGTTGATTCTTGCAAGGGCAGCTGAAAGGGCACAAGCCCTTGGCCCATTTGCCCGCCCTTTTTTTTCTCCACTGAACCTTCTTTTTCAACCCAATTGCAAGGGCAATTGGAGAACTGCTGGAGATGCTCTAATTAGTCTTATCTTATAGTAATCAATATTATTATTGCCACTGGTCCCCTGCCTAATGTGAGTCAATATTTGGAGATTATCATTGATAATTTGTTTTAATGAAAAATGATAAGAAGACTCCTCAAAGGTTCTCTGGAAAAACACTTAAAGTGTTTCTTGAAATAAGTACATAATTGATGTTTCTTGGAGAAAACACTTTAAGTGCTTTTGAATCCTAAAAATATTTTCTTTAAAAGCGATTTCTATCATTTTAAAAGTACTTTCAAACGAACCCTTAGTTTGGTTGGACTAATTGTATAAATTGGTTTAAGTTAGGTTGGTTCTTTTTTCCTCTGTTAATGAAAGTTTCATTGATCATAAATAAAAAAACTCACAGGAGCAGACGACAAAGGTTGGTTGAGTTGGTAAGGTCATTCTCTTCGCTAGACCAAAGTCTAGGTTCAAATCTCACTATCGATAATCCCTCTTGGTGGAACTCATTATAGTCCTAGTCTGATCAATCAAACGTCTCCAAAAAGTCACAAATAGATAGAACTCATTCTAATATATTCTTCCTTGTGGTTAGGGATGGGAATTCTAATTGATTCTTCCTAGTGGTTAGGGATGGCGTGTCCTAGTCGGATCAATCAAAAGTGTCCAAAAAGTCACAAATAGATAGAACTCGTTTTTATACCTTTTTCCTTGTGGTTAGGCATGGGCAAATTCTTATGGATTCTTCCTAGTGGTTAGGGATGGACAAAATACCCGTGGGTATGGGTAACAGTGGTTGTTCAGCCATTTAAACTTAATGGTTATGGTTATAACTTAATGGTTATGGTTATAAGTAACCGTTTAAATAAATACGGTATAACTGTTTACCGGTAAAATATAAATTGTGAGCATATGTATTACCCGTGAGTACAAACGGGTACCCATTTAACCATTTATATTGTTTGTTGATTGTTCTCGTTGAATTACACAACATGTTTAGCTGTTTCGTGATACTTAAACTACCACTTTCTAGTGTTTCCGTTTATTTCCCTTTTAATTTCTCAATACTAACATGATTAAACTGAGTCATTACAGTCACTTAATGTTGGAATCTGTTGGCAGGATTTGAATTTTGAACCTGCATTTTTAGTTGCTCTTGAGATAACTGACTCGAGTTTAATACCACGTGAAGCAACTGATTGTTAATTGAGATTATATAGTGAAGCAACTGATTGTTAATTGGGATTATAAATTTTGTTGTCTACTATAAGTATATTATTTCTCAGTGCAGGGCTCATATATTTTGGTTTGTTTGTTTGTTAGTAAGATGGAGACTCAAAACGAGAACCAAAAAAAATGAACCAATTAATCTTGATCAAGATTTGGACTAAAGTGAATCAAGCATAGATGACGGCGATAGGAAGAGAAATGCATGTTAAATATACCTATAACGATGTTCAATTATTGTAAAAAGAAAATTATGACACTTTTTTTTTACTCAGAACTTGCCAAATTTGCAATGTCGTGCGATGTTGATGTAGTTTGGGTTGAAGATGCCCTCTTTGGTTAGAGTGTTTTTTCGTGTAACGATATTGATGCATCTCGTAATGCTTCGGTTTAATGAATTTCATCTGTTCCTCAACAAATTAAACCAAACAAAATTTGCGACTTCTAAATATTGAAAAGAAAAATATCGCTAGACTAATAATTAGTTATTGTATTTTTATAGTGGTATTAGTACGCTGGTGAATTGTACAAAGTAAGCAACCAAATATATATATATATATAATAACAATGATGCATTTCGTTGTACCGAATCGAAGACAGGACTTGAAATGGTAGAAACTTGAGCTACAAGACTATCGCTATTATATGTGTAATTCGTAATGCTAGAATGTGTTCAAATGCCAGACAATGCCTACTACATGCTGTTTCTACCTTCTCAATTTCTGCTTTTTATGACCCTGCTTTAAGAAAAAGCAACTTTTTTCAGCTACCAAACACAACCGATATAGTTGTTCAAACGTGTCAATGCATCCATCTGCCTTCGTTTCAGGTATTCAATCACGTCAATGCACCATATTGCAGCCAGAATAATCTGCCGTCTTTTTCTCAACCCTCACAACTGAATCGAGGATCAGCTGCGCGCACAGGCGCGAAAACTAAACTGATTTAAGGCAAGGAACCTGAAATACAAGTGGCATAAATTAGTTTCAAGAAAGTCAAGGTATTCAGAAGTTGGCAACGCAAATATCATCGGACATGAAAGGAGAGATTTCATGCTAATTAGGCAGCTGGAACATTCTAGTACCAATGACATGATACAAGGTTATTACTGATTGACTTCAATCTCAGATTACTTAATTACAAGTTCAATCAGCAACATTTGTATATCAGCGGCAGAGCATAAATTTTTCATTTAAATAAGAACCATACGAAACCAAAGAAAGAGTTTCAAGGAACAGAAAATTACTAACTGTTGTAAACGCATAAGATGAGCAATCTTGTGTTTATATTCAACAGAAAAATATAGATAACGTGTTACGTTTTTGTTAACTTTCCAAGGACTCGAACAATTCATGTATTAGAAACCGTTGGGACAGAAAAACTAAACGACAACAAAGAGCAATCCATTTTTCAATTAAAATTCTCCTATCATCATCACTTCCATATATCACAAGGAAGAATGTGCAGTGGTTAGCAGGCCAACATTCAGAAGGAAGCAGTTTTATTTTTTATTTTTTTTACCAGTAAAATAAACAACTGAAATAGCACAAAATATACACACCTTGACTACATCAAAATCAGTTGAAGCCAGATAGTTTTTGACATAGTTGTTCCAGCAAACACAGCTGATCCTTTGTTTGTTTGACATCTCGATCGCTGGATAATGAATATCAACAGAACCATTGAAGAATGCATAAAAAGTCATTAAACTTTCTTTGAGAGACCCCGGCAGCAGCAAAATGGTATTCACATTGATTAAAACCCAAAGAGCAAATTGGGTTTGAGGACCTGCTGCCATGTACTTCAAACTGACTGTATCGAGCATACAGTGCACCCACTCTCAACGATGGCACTCTGGAGGTTCAGCAGGAGTCTCCTTATTTTTTTTTTTGCACCCTGTTAGAAATAAAGAAAGGAATTGAGTAAGAAAAGGATTATTTGCATTTGAAAATATGGTTTATACACAAGCAAGCAAAGCAATGAATTATTTACCGTCAGCTGCTGCGGTACCCCTTGATCGAAGCCATAGAATTGTACTCGACAAGAGCAGGACATGTATTTTCATTACTTTGAGATAATTCAACAAATTCAAGTACCTTTGGAAATCGTTGTCGAAATGAAGGATATCTTGAACTCTCAAACGAAGTTGTTCATTAAAAATACAGCATCATTGGGATGTATGTGGAAAGTTTAAGATAATAATCCTTGATATATGTTGTTTCTTGATTGGAAATAACAAGGACTACATCCTCAAAATATTGGATGATAGTGGTCCTTGTTCTTCATCGAAGTGAAGACCATTCAAATAAGCTATGCCTTGTAACTGTTGATAGAGAAGGCAATCTGATGATGCATGATATGATTTGAAACATGGACAGGGAAATCGTGAGTGCAGAATCCTTGGGCAATCCTGAAAGAGGTAGTAGATTGCGGGTTCACGATGATGTAGAAAGTGTATTGAGGAACAACTCTGCACGTAACTAACTGTCAAATTGTGTTAAATTTGGCATCATAAAAAATCCAGCAGGATTGCAAAGGCACGGATGGTGGGGAGGTGGCAACGGATGTTACTGAGATGTATTATCTTGATAATGTACTTGCTCTTCATCGATTGGACATTATCGGCGGTGATGTCAAAGAAGCTATATCTGCAGCACCGGCACAATTGTGGTTGCGGTGTGCGAGTCTTCACGAAGTTCCTTAAGATCCCTCTCTCCAATATCCTCTCCCAACTTTCTGCAATCCTAGCAGGAATATCCTGTGCTTTTCCTTGGCGCGGCGTCATCCATTACGACAGTCGCTCTTCCCCATGGAATCGATCACCAGGGGCACGCCGAACAGCCTGATTTCTTGCACAGATTGCCCGGTGGCTCCGCCTAGGGATGTTCTCTTCATCTTCAGTTTTCCGGTGATCTCGTCAATAACTTTCCTGATAAACACTCCTTCATACCTAGTAGTTAAAACCCAAAATTAACCAGACTAAATTGAACTAAACCCTTAATTCCTTACAAATCAAAACCTTGGATTCCGATGATAATTTTGTAAAATTCGTGAAAAACATTCATACAAGTAAATAATTACCCGTCCGTCTTTGTAAAAACCTCACCGGCTAAGTCTGCAGCTTCAGAAACAGCCTTTCTCCACCGCCCTAGTTTTTCTTCCTTATGATCTTCATGTTTCTCAAATGCCTCTGCAAAAATCCCAGATTGGCTCTTCACATCTGAAGGATCAACGTCGTAGAATATTGGCAAAACCATTAGCCGTAGTGTTCTTTTGCACTCCATGATCTCCACCAACTCCTCAAGACACCGGGTGGAATCAGCATACCTCCTTGAGAAGATGATCACAGCCATCTTGGACCCCTGGATTGCTTGCTTCACTTTCTCTGATGCTTTTTCTTCCCCTCCTCTCGTTGATTCCTTCTCTTCGATAAAGGCGTCGACTCTGGCGGCTTTCAATGTCCAATACAGGTGGTCCGTGAAGGTTTTGCGCGTGTCTTCACCGCTGAAGCTCAAGAATACGTCGTAAATCTCATCTTCTATTGAGGACGAGGAGGAGGACGAGGAGGAGGTGGTGGTGGAGATGGCGGAGGGGGAAGGCGAGGGAGGTCCGAGGGATGTAACGGTACTGGTATCCGTTAATTGTTGTTGCACCTGTACGATCCTTTTGCTACCACTCGGCCTCTCGAGCTGGTGATCAGAGGGGGCGGGGAGGTTCAGGTCGGCTGTCGCCTTAACATCGCGCAATCCACGCGCCGCTACGTCGTAAGCACGTGCCGCCTCTTCAGCGCTGTTAAAGGTCCCTTCGCTACCACTCGGCCTCTCGAGAAGGTTCTCAGCGGAGGCGGGAAAGTTGGTCTTCGCCTTGGCTCCGCGGAGCTCACGCGCCGCGTTGTCGTACGCACGTGCTGCCTCTTCAGCGCTGTCAAAGGTCCCGAGCCAGATGCGGCTTTTTTTCCCGGGATCTCTGATCTCGGCGGCGTAGCGTCCCCAAGGCCTCTTCCGGACACCTCTGAATTGGATCTCATTCGAAGCCGGGTTCCGGTCTCCGGAGCGGGATATGGGTGGTGGGGACTTCGACGTCGGATCCATGGTTTTTGTTAATTGGAGCAAAGACGTGAGCTTTAAGGTGCATAGAGAAGAGAATTTGTGGGAGGGAGGAAGAAAAGGAGAAAGAAAGGGGAAGGGGGGAGACGGAGAAACCGACAGAGAGGAGCAAGGCATCTATTCTTGCGGGTCAAACTGGCTCGACGGATTAAAATAAAAGAAAATTGTTCAACTTTTAACTTAATTAGAGCAATAGTTTATTACCTAAAAATCTATGAACGTTAATTTCTTAACTCATTAAAACATGCATCTATAATTTTTTTCGTTAACTCAGTTAAAACTTAGTTAAATTTTTTATCAAAATAAGTTACTTGTCTCGCACATAGACCTATAAACGGGTCGGGTTTATTGGGTTTGGATCGAATTTTACCCGATTCGTTAAGTTAACAGAACATCCGAATCCAATCAGTCACCCGAATTCAACCCGTTAAGCTCATTAGTCACCCATTCATCCGTTTGACCCGTTAACTCCCATTAAGATTTTTTTTGTTTTTGTTTTTTTGTTTAATTTTGCATTCCAATTCAAATTACGCGTACAAACAATATCTCACATTCAGATTTCATTTACAATAGTTGGCAGTGCATTTATGTCCATCCCCAATATGCAAAACCAAAGGAATCAATCCATTTTGACACTTACCTCCATTGTCCATCCTTTTCGCCGTTTGACAGAGCCCTACCATGACCTTCTTCTTCAAGCCCGAGACAGAGAAGCACTTGAAGGAAGGATCCCGATCCGGCAAGCCAGAGGACGAGTTGCCGCTATTGGAGGAGAGAAGCTTGACTCGCTCTCAAGAAAGCAGCTGAGACGAAGTGTTAGAGCCACCGGAGGAGGAGGAAAAGTAGTCTGTTGCCATTTTGACCCGAGAATGTAGTCCTGGAGCATATCGGTGACCTCTTTGAAGTGGCAGAGATAGACTTTGAGTTTGAGGGCTTCCTATTATAACTATTGAAATTACACAAAAGCCCTCAACAACGGGTATTAACGGGTTTCGCGGGTTGATCTAAAATGATCCATTATTTAACGGGTTGACCCGTTAACAACCCGACCTGTTAAATACTCATTCGAATACTAATTTTAAAGGATTGGGTCGGGTTAACGGATCGAGTTTAAAATGCCAAGTATACTCGCACATGAGGCTAGATCAAGGGGTAAATATGAAAAATCAAATAAAAAAAGTTTGTAGGAATGGTTCTTGAATGTAACCTAATTAGAGAAATAGTTCCTCAACTTTAAATCAATTACAGTTCTCTCAACTTTAAAACATTGTACCAATGATCATTCCAACGTATGAGTCATTTTTATAGAATTCGACGAAGTTGATGAAAAAAATCATAATTGCACGTTATAATCAATTAAGAAGTTGAGAAATGATTATTCCAATTAGTTAAAAGTAGATGGCTAATGCTATAAATTTCTCATAAGATAAAGAAAAAATTGAAATTTAATTCGTGAAGCAAACGGACGTTTCTTTTCCGTTTGGTGGACAGCGAGCGAGTCAAATAAAACGAGCTGAGTTGACTTGACTTGGTTATGTATTTTTCTGCCCATCATTTGGCCAAAAACACAACCTCCACCGGCGGAATATGATTGATTTAATGGATGCCAGGGCGGCCGTCGCAGCCTCCTCCTCCTCCTCCTCCCCAAAACGGTGGAAGCATGACGTGTTCTTGAGCTTCAGAGGTGAAGACACGCGCAAGACCTTCACCGACAACCTCTACTGGACATTAAAAGACAACAAGGTCAACGTCTTCATCGACGAGAACGAACTACGACGAGGGGAAAATATAACAGACGAGCTAGTGGAAGCGATCAAACGGTCCAGGATCGCCGTCGTTGTCTTCTCGAAGCGGTACGCGGATTCGAGATGGTGTCTTGAGGAGCTGGAGAAGATCGTGGAGTGTAGAGCAACAATGGGTCAAATTCTTTTGCCTATTTTCTACGATGTTGATCCTTCCGAAGTTAGGCATCAGACTGGTAGTTTTGCCACGGCATTTGGGAAGCATGAAGAGTGCTTCGATGGCGATATGGTGCAGAGGTGGAGATCGGCTTTCACTCTAGCTGCAAATTTGGCTGGTGGGAATCTTAGAAACACTGATGGGTAATCACTTAATTGTTAATTCCTTGCAAAATCTACTTTTTAAATTTCAAATGCTGAACTAATCAAAATTTGATCGCTATGTAGTCGATATTTGATTGTGATTAGCTTGCGAAATGTCATGTGTTGGCTTCTCAAGTAGGGCTCAGAATCTTTCATTTCACATATTGTAATGCAAAGCTTAGAAACCCTGATAAGTTTGAGACTCTACAAACGCTTTGAGCTAACTATCAGTGTGGGGAATTGAGCTAACTGCATTCGCATGGATCAACATGTTGAGCAAAGATTGTAGCGTAACAAATAATTCACTCGACATAACTTCACCCACGTTAATTAGTAGGAGGATTTTATTATTTTGAGTACTACCAAATCAGGACAAAGTGTCTATCAATTCCAATCCTTTGTTAAAAAGGAAACGCCCTTTGTTTCCAATATGAATAAATTGTACTTGGGGTTTGTTTGATTTTGCGGCTGCACCTAGGTCGAGCCTTAAGAGGTCGCACTTGGTGCGATGGCAAGTGCCTTCGCCCATAAGCGGTAGGTCTCGGGTTCGAGACTTGGGAGCAGCCTCTTCATAAATGGGGGTAAGGCTAGCCGACATTTACTTCTCCCAGACCCTGCGTAAAGCGGGAGCCTTGTGCACTGGGTACGACCTAGGTCAAGCCTTAGATTGCCTATATACTCTTTCTGAGGGATCAAGCCAGTCGAGTTCTTGGAATCATTTGGTTTGGCGTTTCCATGGGAGCTCTAGGCTGAGCACTTGAGCAGCAAAACGGACTTGAAAACCTCAAATATCTTCTTTAGCCAAAAGGGCATGCTTTTCATCTAAGTCTTCCTTTTTGAATCAACTCAAATTTTCTTACTTTCCGACCTAGAGTCTTCGTGATTTTGTTGGCAAGACTGGTGCAATGAACTTAGATTTTGTAGTCTCCTTTGATGATGAGTCTTGTACCAATTACTTGCTAATTGGTCTTTTCCGTCTTTGTTACTTTTTACTTCTTGCTTTTCTCTGTCTTTGGTGCTCATAAATGACCTTGATGGTGTTCTATGAGCGGGTGCAATGACGTGAAGACCTTGCGGGTGTTCGTATGTGAGTTGCATATGAGAGAGGGGTCTTCGAGACATCTCTTTTTCATGGGCTTTGTCTTCATTTTCAGCTAGAAACTTGACAACTGACAGCATCTGTACCCATTTAGGTACACTTTGCACAGTTGACAAGCCTTGTGGACACCTCTCGTGTGCAGCCTTCTACTCCATCAGCAATTTGGACCGTATGCACAACAGAAGGGTCTTGCGGACACCTTTTTGCAGCCTTCTTTTCCGTCAGTAACAGCAACCACACCATTCTTTGGCACACTTCGTTCAGCTGAGAAGTCTTGTGACTGTCTCTTTTGTGCAGTCTTCATCTCCACACCTTTTTCTAGCCAGCAGCTTCTCCTCTTCTTTTCTATCAGAGAGTACTTGTTCAGCAACATTTTTTGACGAAAAAGGGTTGTGATCAGCAACCTCCTATTGACGGAAAAGGAATATGAGTGGTGACCAGAGAGGCTATTGACTGCAATTTCTTAATTTGTTTGGCTTCAGAAAATTCCCTCATTTTCTGCATCTTTTTGAAGGAACATGAACTTCACTCTTCTTCTTTACGACTGCCACTTCATAATGTTTCCTGCACAAAAGAGATACAAAAGAAGTTGTCATATGACAATTTGGTGCTGATTTATGATTTGTTCACAACCAGACTCACCTGCAAAGTTGTACAGAAAAGAAGATGAAAGAAGCACAGAAGTGACAACATGGGTTTTATCCCCTTTTTGTGCCTATGGTTGCTATTCTCTCTCGTCCGGCTGGAGATTTTTCACGTCTGAAACTCTTGTCTTCTTCTCTTCTCTAATGATTTCTTTAGCACCCTGTTGCTCTTTCTTTCTGAACTCACTATGAACTTTTGCAGTTTTTTGCTCTCTCTCAAATGTTTTTTCTGCCATCTGTGCCTTTTTTCCTTCTCCTTGGCTTTGTCCCCTTCCATAGACCAAAGGTGAGCATTAGTTACTTCGTATTTCATGGCGAAGTGGAGTAGTTGAGAAGAGCTATTACTTCTCCATGCTGGTATGGAGTGCTTAAACAACAAACTCATCTAGAGCCTGCGTGTGTATTGTAGAGATCTTCATTTCGATTTTTTCATTTGCCAAGCTCCTTTTTCTTTTTTAAGGCACACCACCTTTAATTTACTAGGGTCATGCTTGAAAATTTATGGTTCAAACACAACATAATTCACCAGAAGTTGAACAAAGTATTTAATTAAAAATTGAAAACTTATTTGATCCCAAAAACTGTTACTTGAGTTGAATCCTGCAGTTATATGTGAGTCTTACTTTTGTTTAATTTTGTATTTTAACTGCTAGGTACGAAGGAAAGTTTATAAGGAAAGTTGTCGACGACATCACTCGAAGACTGAAGTCGCTGAACAACACATATCCAGATGTACCCACGAACCAAATTGGAATAGATTCTCGCGTGCAACTTATCAGTAATGAGTTAGATGTCGGAGGATCAAATAATGTTCACATTATTGGAATTTTGGGTATGGTTGGGACGGGCAAGACAACGGTTGCAAAAGCCATTTTCCGCAGATTTCATCAAATGTTTGAAGGTAGCTGTTTCCTTTCAAAAGTGAGGGAAGAGGATATGGTTAAATTGCAAATCAAGCTTCTTAGTGATATCTTGAAACTAGCTAATGTAGAGGTAAGTAGTGTCGATCAGGGGACTAAGGAGATAAAAAGAAGACTTGGCCGCATGAGGGTACTTGTCATAATTGATGAATTAGATTGTGTGAAACAATTACATGAGTTGGCTATAAATCGTGACACGTTTGGTCCAGGGAGTAGAATTATTATAATAACAAGAGACAAACACTTGCTCAAGATACTTGAAGTGGATAAGACATGTACCGCACAAATAATGAATAAAGAAGAAGCTCTTGAGCTCTTTTGTTGCCATGCCTTTACGGAGAGTTATCCTGCTGATGAAGAATATCTTGAACTGTCGAGCAAAGTTGTCAATTACTGCGGAGGTTTGCCACTAGCACTTGAAGTATTAGGTTCTTATTTATGTACAAAACTCAAAAGTGAATGGAGAAGTGCATTGCGTAAATTGAAAAGACATCCTCATATGCCAATTTACGAAAAGCTTAAAATAAGCTACGATGGGCTAATTGATGATGACGTTAAGGATATATTCCTTGACATATCTTGTTTCTTTATTGGAATGAACAAGGAACATGTCATGGCAATATTGGATGGCTGTGACTTTGATCCAGAAATAGGAATCGGAGAACTCTGTGATCGAGGCCTTGTAACTGTTGATGAAGGAAACAACCTGGTAATGCATGATTTGCTTCGAGATATGGGCAGACAAATCGTACGTGCAAAATCCCCTAACATCCTTGGAAAACGTTGTAGATTGTGGGATCAAGAAGATGTAAAAGACGTATTGAGGAGCAAATCTGTAAGTACATTTGCTGTCAAATGATATTAAGTGTATGGTATGCTTATCCCAACTGTAATAAATTGTATGCCCTGGATGTTGAACAATATACACTATGATATGCATTGATTTGAACAAAACTACAGTTTGAATGGAAGGAGAGATGAAGTCGAAATACAACTATATGGCTTTGCTGTATACTTATAAATTGTGCAAATAACCCTTTTCTTAATTAGTTGCATTCATCATTTCTTATTTCCTTATTATTTGTTTTCTATTAAAAGGGAACAGAGTTCGTTGAAGGACTCGTGTTAGATTTGCAAGAACCCGACAAGGCTAGCTTCAGTACAGAAGCATTTAAAGAGATGCAGAGACTCAGGTTGCTCAAACTCAAAGGCGTAAAGTTCAAAGGAAACTGCGAACATCTTTCCAAAAGGTTAAGATGGTTGTGCTGGCCTGAGTTTCCTCAAGGGGTCATACCAAAAGATTTTACTAAATACCTAGTTGATGTCAACCTGAGCCATAGCAAAATACAAGTTTGGAATGATTCCAACATGGTATAGTACACTCTCAACCAAATCCCTGATATTTTTTTTTTTGTTAGAAATAACATCATGCTCTCTCGCTTATATTTGTATTTTGATTTATGTTTTCCTTTTATCTGACAGCGGCTTGAGAAGTTGAAGTTTCTTAATCTTGGGTATTGCCATCACCTGAAAAGATCACCAAACTTTTCAAAACTCCCAAATCTCGAGAAACTGTTACTTAATGACTGCCAGAGTTTTTCCGAGGTTCACCCTTCCATAGTACAACTGAAGAACCTTAAGTATTTGTCTCTTGCGAACTGCGATCTAACAGATGATGCACTTCCTAAGGATCTTGGGGGTCTATCTTCTTTAGACGTTTTAGACTTAAGTGGCAATTGTTTTTATGGGCTACCTAACCTCAGCGGCCTTTCCAAGCTTCACACTTTACAATTGAATAATTGTACAAACCTTCGGGTGATCCCAGATTTACCAAAAAAATTGGAAATCCTGGAGGCAGATGAGTGCATTGCATTGGAAAAAATGCCAGATTTTTCAGATCTGTCGAGTATGAGGGAATTGCATCTGAATCACTGCCCCAAACTCACTGAGATTCCAGGCTTGGATAAGTTGTCAAACATCATGACAAGGATTCATATGGAAGGGTGCACCAATCTCACTGCTGCTTGTAAGGAAATAATCCTGCAGCTCCCGTCTCTCTCTCTCCCTCCCTCTCCTTTATTTGCACATAAATACAACAACAACAACAAGAACAACAAAGCCTTATCCCACTAAGTGGAGTCGGCTGTATGAATCCTAGAACGCTATTGCGCTCGGTTCTGTGCCACATCTTTTGTTAGATTCAAGTACTCCAAGTCTTTTCTTAGAGTCTCTTCCAAAGTTTTCCTAGGACTTCCTCTACTCCTTCGGCCCTGAACCTTTGTCTCGTAATCGCATCTTCTAACCGGAGCTTCTATAGGCCTTCATTTCACATGTCCAAACCACCATTACTAATTTTCTGTCATGGTTTAGAAATGTATGTACAAATGTTGCTCCACGTGTATTAGAAATGTGTGAGCGGAAATGGTTGCCTTTTTTAATCATGGAAATGTTTTCCTTCATGGTTTAGGGTGGTCGACCATAAGGATGAAATAGTTGTGCCGCCAGGTTTTGGTTGTGATTTTAAGCCGCTGACTGTGTGCATCATTTACTCTTCTGATAAGATAACTCCCAATCTGATGATTATCTTCACATTTCATGCTGTGAATTGTACCCAGCAGAGGGAATTTATCATCTGTGCAATGCAAGTGACCATGGTTGCTTCCCATAAGACAAACTTTGGCTGGGACATCTATCAAACGACAAGCTTAATGTGAAAGGTGGCTTCAAGATAATTGTCGGTGTGCACTTGGAAAGAGCAGGGAGCGCTCATGATATTCATCAGCGTGAAGAAATAGGGTTAGTCTGGAAGGGGAAAAACTAGTTAATGGGTATTTGTTTGGCTGTGAATCCATCTCCTTGCCGTATTCAAGTGAATAAAATGAAGACAGGGCAGCAAGACTAAGGTCTGATCCAAGTATAGAAAGCAATGTAGAAGAAGAAACAGAAGCAGGGGAAGATTGCTTAAACGGACTTCAAAGAAAGGTTCATGTTTCGCTGGTCTCAGGATGTAATTGCATTAACCTCGAAATTGCAAAAAGCTGCATGGAAACTGATGTAATCATTTGAGGAGGGGTGAGGATGAAGAGGAGGCTTCGAATGCTAAGCTGGCATCCATTAATTGTTCCTCATTGGTGCTGATGAGAACTGCTAGATGGCACCCGCTGGTCTTCTGGCTTGAATGTTGTTCTGTGTATGGTTATTTTTTCTGGTAGAGGTTGTGTTGCACTTGACAGATGAACACGGAAGTACCAGAGTAAAGTCGAACTCTGTGTCGTTTCAAATGACAACACATTTGGAATGGAACTGAAGGAGGAGTACTGTGGAGCAATCTCAGGTTGAGGAGGAACACAACAACAGTCCTTTCTCCCTCAACTGCAAGGAAAGTGGCAGACATTATGGACAGAGAGAGTAGAGTGTGGTGGAAAGATTTTCTTATGCCCCTTTGTTTCTCAAGAGGTGATAAAATCCTGCTTCTTCCCATAGGTTCTGCTACTGGTGGTGATCGTTTAATTTGGCCTTGGAAGGTGAATGGTATCCATTCCGTAAGATCAGGCTATCACTGGCTTCAAAGACAAAAGATCAGAAATGCTTCAGTTCCCTGCCCACCTCCATTCCCACATTGTTGATAGCACCATTTGGAAGATGAAAGCCACCCCCCATATTCTGAACTTCATGTGGCCTGCCTTTTTAGCGCTTTTCCTACAAGAAAGAATCTGTTTAGAAGACATATCACCATGAATTTCCTATGTCCAATTTACATGGAATTTATGCCCACGGGTTAAAGGCATTTGGTTTGGCACTGCTCTAAATTACAGGAGACTTAATGAAGATGTTTCATCTCTTGACCATTGGTTTTCATACGAAATTTCTAGGCGGACAAGGGGAGAAAATCTCGACACCTTTCTTTCTCTTGCAGGTATCACCTGTTGGGATATCTGGAAGGCTAAACTATTAAGAGTCCAGGAGCTTCTCATTTTGACCTTGCCAATGTGGTATGGTGCCCTCCAATTCATAATTTTGTTAAGGTGATCACTGAAGGGGCCTGGTGTACTTCTTCATTGGAGGCAGGGCTGGGGATTGTTATTCATAACAGGTTAGACACATTCAGAGGTGCTTTGGCTGTTCTATAAGTGTTCCTCTGCTCTTATGGCTGAAAGAGCCGCGGTTATCAAAGGATTGGATCTAGCTGCAAGCTTAGGCTTCACAAAAGTGATGGTGGAGAGTGCTTCGATTAAGTGCTTGAAGGGTGACATAGAAAAGGGTGCTTGGGAAATCTATCCACTCTTGTTGGAAATAAGATCGAAGAAGATCAATTTTGAAGACCTACATTGGAAGTGGTCTACTCACGAGGCAAATGGTGCCGCTCACCATGTTGCCTTGCTTGCTTTGAGGATTGTGGAACGTCAAAGTTGGGTCGATAGACCACCAATTTCCCTGGTTTTTGCTCAAGGACGACCTTCCCTATCCTCCAAACTAATTTTGGGTATTTTGGCTGCTCTCTTGGACAACCCTCTTTTGGTGGCCTTTGGCAAGCTGTCTTGTTTCTGTCTGGGTAAGTTTCTTTGTTAGAGTAATTTAATTTGAATATTGTCTTCGCATTCCTTGGTGTAAATTGATGCAAATATATATCAAATTAAGTGACAAATGCCCCTTTTGGAATGCTGTTCACGACAGTCTTCTTGATCTTGTTTTTTACTTTTTCGTCAAGTCTTCTAACTTGTCTGTGACTGGTTTCTGATTGGTTTCCAGTTTTTGCTCTTACACTTTTATGCGAAACTGTCCGTTGATTAAAAAATATTAAATTCCGGACATGTCCGCTGTAGGTTATGATCTAGCTGAAGCATATGCGCCGAGAGACCTCCACTGGAAGAAGCTGAAGATGGAAAAACAAGAAAGAGCCAAGCTTGGCACGGCTGAATCCAAAGTGGTAAAATCTAGGTTGTTTCTTTCTGGTGTTAAGAAAAATCCATCCAAGCAATTTCCAAACCACTTGTTCTGCAGAAAATTCGAAACTTTACACTTAGATGGTCCTTCAACGGCTTTTAGGAATATAACAATTTCAAACTTTACTGTAACATTTTTTTCCTGCTAAAATACAGTAAAGGAGTAAATAGGAAAAAACAATAACCTGGTAGCATACCAAATTACAGTATTAAACCTCTGAAAATTGCTCGGACGGAGTACGATTGATCAAACTTCATCGTTTCCAACTTCTGCCATTGCAGCTGAACGAACTCTTCGAACATTGCTCGGACAGACTTTCTTCAACGCGCACAAGAAACAACCTTTAGGCTGGCACCACCATTTCAGTATTTTTGGATTTTGACTTGCCTCTTTCTTCTTCCATCTTGAGTTTCTTCTTGTGTTTGAAAATTTTGAAAAGTTTGAGCACATACACTTGAGCAAGAGCACTACACATTATTTTGAAAAGTTTGAAAATTAATCAAGTGTTTGTTTTTGTTTGCAATATATTCAAAAGGGAATACGTACATATTTGAGGATAGGGTGCACAAATAGACCTCGATAAAAATCTTGTCAGAGGTTTTAGCCTAGTTGAAGAGAAATAGAGCACAAGCAACTTGAAAGTTAACTATCCTAAAAGAAAATGCAATCAAATAGCAATGCAAACCGAATTGAGCTATCCTCAGACAAAATATGTGTGATTAAATCCGGTGGTCCCTCGAACCATGCACGACACCTTCTGTTGCTGTCCAAGTCCTGCACGAGCAAGCCTTTGTGCTGCTTGGTTTGCCTCTCCACGAACGAGGTTAAATTTTGGCTGATGTTGTATTGGTTGAAATCCCTTGGCGACTTCCAAGCAACAAATTTGTTTTCCAATGCAAGTCTGTGTCCAATGTTGGCGCACTCTAATCGCGGATTCTTATTTTCTTGGTCGTTTTGTACATATCCAAAGCTATAAGAATGCTCCCAAGGCACGCACCCTAATAAACCAAACAGGGGAGGAACTCCCTCCTAAAATGCTGTGGGCATCCAAGCTACCAGCTCCAAGTGTTCAAAAGAATTATCAGCTTCCACAATTTGATAGGAGAGCCAGTTGTGGTTGCAACGCATAGTGACTTGGGTTAGTGCTGCGCAAGCGAGGATTATCATCGCGAATACCGTAACTGTAAGAAAGACAATTGGAAAGGACATGACAACCACGTGATGCCGAGTGTAGTTGCAAGGTGTTGAGAATTCTTCCTCCCTATGAATCTGCGAATGGTGAGAAATGTGATTCCTTCAATTTAAGCGTGGAGGTCTTTGATTTTGATGAACTTGGGGAGCTCTCCGTTGCATTCAATGGCGTGCTATATTTTCCAGGAGACAATGACGAGCTTCTTTATCTTGGTTTCGGTCCGTTCAACGACCATAGCAGTACACTAGCAGTAATAATGATGATTTTGTTGTTGATCACGAACTTCCTCTAACCATATATATTTAAGGAGCATCTAGACAAACGTTTTATAGTTCGATACGCAGGTGTGCACGGAGGATGTACCACTAACGAATATGAATTTGTAGGGTTTTCGTGGAAATAGCTAGGTCGCCATTCGTGCGTTTTATTGCAGCATCACTAACAAAAGCGTTTCAGGCCAACAATAACAATTTCATCATAGACTAATAAACAAATTAAAGAGGAATTACGAAAGCTCTCATACAGCACACAAGAAATTGGACTTCACCATCCTTCATGCATGTGTTTCGCAAAGCTAGCTTTGTTGCAGACACCTTGGCTACTATATGCCTTGGTGTTTCCCCGGGGCTTCGTTCTTTAGCTGTGTCTTGTTTTCTTCAGTTTCCTTAATCTTTATGGTTCAAAGTTCTAACTTCTTCAGTTTCAGCTGAACGAGTCCTTGGAACAATTGTTGGATGGACTTTTTTCAACACTGGCCAGAAGAAACAACCACTTGACGACTTTACCATTTCCGATTCCGACTCCGGCCTGCCAAGCTTGGCTCTTTCTTCTTTTTCCATCTTCAGCTTCCTCTTGTGGAGGTCCCTCTGCACGTATGATTCAGCAAAACCATAGCCTACCGCCGACATGCCGTAAAGTTTCTTTTTTTGTGTTGAACTTGGGGAAGAAATGGGGAAAATTGTAATTGATGGGTGATAGCTAGTATATTTATAGAAGGTTTGTGCTTTCTTGGGGAAGAAGCAGGCGTCTTGCTTTTTCCTAGTTGACCGTTGGCTGATAATCTTCTATGGCGTGTTGAGTGGCAAAGACGAAATTGGCTTGCTCGTTGCTTGTCGCTGATGAAGTTTCCGAGATAGTTCAATATTCTATATATATTTCTATTTTGCTATAAAACAATAAAATTGGTTTCTGTTAATTTTACAAATGTGGAGGAAAGCTTATATGTAATTATATCTACTTATCAATTCCAACGTACTATGGCAGGATTGATTTGCTAATTTAGATCATAAATATTGATCATGCATGTATTTGTTCGGGTTTGGATCCCATTCGGATTCTCTTCGTGAGGATTCTAGAATCCTCACATTTATCTGTTCATCATACATCAGGCGGCCATAAATCATTTTGAATTTTTTTATTTAAAATTAAATACAAACAGTACCTAACGAAAACTGATCATACAATGTACGATGAACGGATAAGAGTGAGGATTTTTCCTCATCTGTAATTTTTCTAGGGAAGTTACACTTCAAATTTTTTGATATGTATAGTTTAATATCTGATAAGATTTTTACCACACACACAAAAGGGTTAAAAACACCTATAATACTTGCAAGTGTTGTAGACCTATTTGATTGAACGATCTAGGATTTAGAGAGAAAGAGAGAGGGCCGGCTACACTTAGAGAGAAGAGAGATTGATTTAATTGTGAGGTGTGTTTGATTCACCCCATTGTGCCTTTATTTATAGTAGTAGGAGAGGTAAAAACCTTTCCCTTTAGGATTACAACATTTAATAGGTAATCTACTCCTAATAGGAATATAAGATACATTCCCAGATTTCTTAGGATTTACACAATCATATTCATATTTTAAATATGACTGCAACAGCAAGAATAATAAGGATATTGTAATATAAATGTTCTAGCACGGTCGTTCTCCACAAGGATTATTAAATAATTTGTATAAACTCAAATCTCAATTAACTATTTAAAGGCAAAGTTTTGGTATAATTGGTTTTATAACATATTTTAATAAAAACGAATTTAATTTTATAGAGTAGAAAAATCTATAATAATAAAAGAAAGAGAGAAATAGTGTTTAGAAATCAAATTGAATAAGCACTAGAGTTTCGCCATCACCTTAACAATCCTATATAGTTCTCTCAATTACTTATGACTTATACATGCATATTTAAAAAAAAAAAAAATACATGCATATTTTGAAGGTTAGATTTTCCTAATATGCCTACTTGGACCCCCAATATAGAGCATTTATCAAATATGCAATCTGTTTGTAGTATTGAGATCAAATCCAAACATGCATGACTTATTACGTTTTGTGAAAACACTCTGAAAAACCATCCAACCCTTAAGACGTGACATTCATCCTAAGTGAACTTGCACATATTAACCACAAGAAGCATTCGTCAATTTCAGGGACCTACCTCCGCCAAAATTGCATCAAATTACTTTTCTAAACATTATAATGGTCACGAATCATCAAGATACTTAGATAGTTTAAACCATTGATTAATAACTCAAAAACCTGCATGCATATTATCATAAGTAAATTGAAAATAAACTACATATTCTTACTAAGCTCGTGGCCTCACCCTAGCAAAAGAGATTAGTTACGCATATTCATAATTAAAATCAAAAGGAATTGTATTGAAATAATAAAAGATCGAAAACACCTTGAATGTAAAAGTCTGAAAATCTCTAAGCTCGACCAAGCTTATTTAAACTGCTATAATTCAATTCACCTAGAAAAAAGGTCTTCCAATCATACTATGAAACCAAAATAAATTAAGCCCATCAGAGGCCATCTTGAGCTCCAAAAATCGCAATTAAGCCCATAAATGTCACTTTCCAGCAACCCGCATTGCTTCTTTTTTCCATCGCTAGAAAATAACCGTTAGGTATAAAAAACCGAAATTTTGACACGAACACGCTAAGAGACACATGAACGTCCTCCAATTTGAATCACTCTAAAATTTGTCCGTTTGGTCATATTTTGTTTCAGGGGAAGTTGAATGTCCTATATTGAAAATACAAAATAAAGTATCAAAATTTTACCAAAATAATTATCAAAACATACTAAAAATAAGGTAAAATATTACCCTATATAATATAAAATCGACCCATCAATATCCGTAAAGAATCTTCTTTGTAACCTTTTTAAAGACAAAATCAAAAGAATCTACTTATCTCAAACAACAAAAAGAAAATACAAGTGCTAATGCGTTTGGTTTGTGATGAACCAATTCTTGTTGTGTAAAGTGGATATAAAAAGACAGTTGCTGTGATGCAATCGGTGACGATCAAAAACTAAAAGTTAACGTGCGACACACTCATGTTAGTGGGGCGTAATCATTGCCTGTCATTTTCTAATTTGTGTTAAAAGGGTGTCAAGGTCTTGAATTTGGTTATTTGCTTTCTTACCGGTAACCAGACTTGCCAACCTCCTTCGTCAGCGACGGTGTGTGAATTTGGTTTCAATGGACACCACGAAATTATAAAATAAAAAGAAAAAAAATAAAAATAAAAAATGACATTGAATGCATGTGGAGACATTAAATAAAGTCTATAGACTAAATTTAATTTTTGATTTTTTATCAGACATCTATCTACCCCTCATCTTATTTAAAAATTAAAATATTATTTTCTATATCATATCTATTGCTAGAAAATGACAAGATGCGTTTTATGTTTTGAAATTATTTTAGGTCAAACGATAATGGTTTTATTAGAACGTCAAGGAAATGGTGTATACCATCTTGTTTTTTATTCATTTAAACACGGGTCCGAAAATCTTAAGTGGAATATCTGAGTGTAGTCAGAGCTTTTCCGTTAAACTGATGGTTTTCGTTTCACTAATGTACCCGGAAGTATTGATATTTTGATGGGTAATTAGACTCTTTTTCTTATGAGGATATGCGAAATCTTGCAGGAAGTCAATCATCTAGGGATGTTAAGTGTGATACTCTAACCGAAGGAAGGAAGAGATC